CGAGAATGAGATCGACGGGGGAAATTGTGGTTCGAGCTCGAGGCGTGTTCGAGAAGGTTCAAGATTCGGACTCAAGGAGTGTTCGGTGAATTCGGTTCGGTTGTGTGTGCGACTCGGGGTGAAACGAGGCGCGCGCGACATTGCTTGAGAAACAAGTTACGTTACGAAACGCGTTTTGTGTCTTGCTTGACTATAAATCTGCTTGTACTCATTCTGGAAATCACAACATTGGACAACATTGAGATTCTGAATTTGCTCAAGTGTGTATTGACAACTTCAAGCAGAGCTGCGCATATCGTTGGATTTGGGAGATCGTGGAGAACACGATAAGCAATAGCAAGTAGACTATTGCCGACTAAGGTGTTTACGATCCTAAGATCAGATCGCCGCAACCAATCATGGTGTCAGCTTGGATCGCGGCGTCAGCAGCACTCACGGCATGGCAGGTTTCAACAGACGGCCCTATCGCCAGCACCGCAGCTGAGATGTGGTGTGCGAGGATTCTTGCCTCCCTTGCTCATCCAACCACATTGAACGATAACGGATTACACAGCGCATAGAGCGAATGGAAAGTAGTTAAACGAAGAATCGAAGGAGAATGAGAGATGGGATGGAGTGAGAGACCTTTACATGCTCTCCCTGGGTGGAGGGAGATGTGACATGGGTGGTATGTGGCATGGGTGATATGTGACATGGGTGGTATATGGCATGCGTGGTATGTGACATGGCGTGGGTCTAAGGCATGGGGTGTGTGGGATCGGTGGTACTTGGGATGGGGTGGTATGTGACATCGGTGATATGGCATGAATGGTATGTGACATGGTTTGTTATGTGGCATGGGCTGTATGTGACATGGGATGGGGTGTGGTATGGGTGGTGTGTGAAATGGTATGCTATGTGACTTGGGGTGGTGTGTGACATGGGGTAGTATGTGACATGGGGTGGTATGTGACATGGGGTGGTATGTGACATGGCATGTCTCGCACATACTGATCAAGAAAAACCCGATTGCAACATTGACGTAAAAGAGATAAGAAGGAACTACCGAATTTGCCAACCTTTTCAACGCAAAGAAGCTCAAAGTCCAATGAGCTGACTGCCAAGGTGGTAGTTGGGTTGGGAAAACAGTCGGACTGCCCACTGGCTGACACTCATTTCAACTCCAACTCCACCTCCCCTTGTCCTTCCCCTGTCTGCCTGCAGGCCCTCCTCACCACGTGTCTGCTCCCTCACTCTCTCGCTGCCTCAACACACCCCCCTTGGCTGCCATTGCACACAACCCACATTCCCCCTCTGCCTGCTCCTGCTGCCGATGCTTCTGTTGCTCCTGCCGCAACACCGTCCCCTTTGCCCGCCGCCACACGCCATGCACCTGCTCCACCACCACTCACCCTCGTTGCCGCACCCGCGCCCGCTTCCCTCCCTATCCCCGCCCGCGTACCCACCCCTCCTCTGCTCGCTGTGCAAGCCCCCCACCTTCCCCAGCTAGCCCCTGCACCACCACATGCCATCCCATGCGGCCCGGCACTACCTGTCAAGGTCCCGCACTTGGCAGAAGCGCCACACCACCCCCCTCATGGCACCGTCCACCTTCCCTCCCCCTCTGCTCTTGCTGCTGCTGCTCCTCCTCCTCCTCCTGCTGCTGCTACTGCCGTCCCGATGGCCCCTCCGCCCCCCCCACCTGTCCGCACCTCACCCTTGCCTCAGACTGTTCTGCCTGCTGCCTCTGTGCTCGCACATGCTCGCTCACAGCAGCAAGCACACGCAGAGGGGAAAATGCACTCCCGGCTGCCCACCGCCCTCCCACCCACCCACGCTCGCACTGCCTCTTCTGCCGCCGCTAAGGGTGCTGTCGCTGCCCCCCCACACACATGCACGCCTGGGCGCAAGACATTCCCCCCATCCCTCTTCCTCCCTCGCACCGACCCTCTCGATGCCTCTTCTCTCCCCTCCCCCACTCCGCCCTCCCCACCTAAACGCGCCTCTTCCCCCCCACAAAAACCACCTTCCGCCCAACCCCTCCTCAGCAGCCCCCTGCAAGCCCCTCCTGGTAAAGCCCACTCCACTGCTCCCCACCTGCAATTCCCCCCAGGCTTCCCCTCCCCAGTAAAGCCCTCTTCCCTCACCCCCAAGCCATCCCCCGTGCCCCTGCTGCCACCACCACCCCTTGCATTCCCACGCCCCCTTACAGTCACATCCACTACGCCTTTCCCTTCGCCTTTCCCCCCGCCCATTTCCCCTGCTCTGCCCTTCCTTCCTGCGCGTCTGCCCCTCCCCTTTGGCCCGTTCCTCCGCCCGCCCATCCCCGCCGCTGCCCTCTCTCTCCCCATCGGCCTCTCTTCTCGCCTCCCCCTCGCCTCTCTCTCTTCGCCTGCTGCTGCCGCCGCTGCCGTTTCTGCTGCAGCTGCCAATCCTGCCCCTGCTGCTTCTGGTAGCAACGTAGGGGTTGCTGCTGTCGCTGGTGGTGCCAGTGGTGCTGGTGTGGGGATGGGGAGAGGGAAAGAGGAAGAGAGGGATGAAGAGAGTCTGGCAAAACTGAGAAAGGAAGGTGAAGAGGATGAATCAGCGAGAGCAAGTGACAGGAAAGGGGAGGAGCACTGGACATCGGAGGTGGGGGAGAAGTCAGGGGGGCGAGATGAGGCAAAGGGCGAGGAAGGGGAGGGATCTGCATCAATGAGCGCTGCTGATACAAGCAAGGCAGAGGTAGTTGCTGATGATATTGTAAAGGCAGAGATGGGCAGGCAGGGAGAGTCTGAGACAGCGCGTGGTGCTTGTGCGGAGGGCAGGGATGAGATACATGGGGTGAGTGGAGGAGAAGGGCCGAGCAAGCAAGAAGAGTGCGATGACCATGCCGCAGCAGGTGCTGCAAGCGAAGCAGCGCGTGAGCAGGCATCAGATGCTTGCTCAGAGCGTTTCCATGGTAAAGTGGTGGGCGTGGCTCTGCCTGGTGCTGGCAATCCGCCCACCAGCACTGACGCTGCTGTGGTGACAGCAATTGACGCTGTGGGTGCTCATTACCCCCCAGTTGCTCTGGGGGGCGGTTTGGAGAGTATGAAGGCGGGGGGTGTGGGTGGGATGGTAAAGTCTGCGGTTACCACAGCAGGAGGGGTTGAGGGTTGTGAGGACGAGCCTCGTGATGAGCATCTGCGGCGACTGGACCTGGACCCCCGGCGACGAGAGGTGCGTTTTGAGGGGGACTTGGAGTCTGGTGCTGGTGCGGGAGAAGGGGAAGGGGTGCGATTGGGAGAGGAGGAAGAGGAGTTAAGAGGAGAGGAGGAAGGTCCTGGGAGCGAGGAACAGCAGGAGGAACAGCAGAAAGGGGAACAGGAGGGGGAGCACGAAGTGAAGAAGGCGGAGCGGCAGGAGGAGCAGCAGGAGGGGGAGGCGGAGGGGGAGGAGCAGCAGGAGCAACAGGGGGAAGGTGAGGGTGGAGGGGGTGCCACAACGCCATTGGAGGAGGCTGCAGTCGCCCCGCTCTCAGCTCCTGCCTCTGCTGCGCTCGTTGCAGCCCTGCTTGCGCCCACTGCCCCGTGCCACGCTCCTGTGCGCAGCGGCCGCATCTACACGCGCCGCCGCGCCCGCTCTGGTGCCCGCAGCACTGCTGATCGCTGCAGCACCTGGGGACGGGGGGGCGCTGACCACACTGGTGCAGCGGGGGAAGCAGGGGCAGGTGGGGAAAAAGGGGACGGGGGAGAAGCAGGGGAGGGACGCAAGGAGGGGGAGGAAGAAGCTGGACAAGGGGACGGGGAGGATGGGCAGGGGGAAGGGGAGGAAGGGCACAGCAGCAGCTGTGGGGAAGGTGAGGAGGGCACGGGGCAAGGGGCAAGCGGTGATGAGGGGAAGGAGCCAGGAGGGGGAGGAAAGGGAGGAAGGGGGGGAAAGGGAGGGGCAGTGAAGCTTGATGCGGTGAGAGAGAGGCTGGTGGGGCGGGTGGCGAAGGGTAGGCGGCGAGGCAAGGGGGGAGGGGCAGCGGGGGCGTTGGGGCAGCAGCTGGCAGTGCGGGCAGCGATAGCAGAGCGAGCGGCCGGCAGGCGCAGCCTGACGTTTGGTGCAGAAGTGAGTGTGGAGGGCACGGGCGTGGGGGGAGGGAGAAGCAGGACCCTGGCGGAGCTGGTTGTTGGGCGAGGAAGGGGGGGTGCGCGGGGGAAAGGTAAGGGGGGGAAGAAGGGGGACGGACACGGGAAGGGGAAAGGGGAGGGGGATGGGGAGGGGGAGGTGCGGGTGCTGTGGCTGGCGGATTCCAGTGTGGCTGCCCGCCCCTTGGGGGATGGGGAGGGGGGCGAGGAGGAGGAGGAAGAAGAGAGGGAGGCGGGAGAAGGGGAGGATCAGGAGCGGGCAGGGATGGTGGGAAGGCAGGGTGTGGAGGGTGCGCAGTTGGGCAGTAGGCGGAAGAGAAAAGGTGGTGGCGAGGGGGAGGAGGCGGGGGAAGAGAGTGGAGCGGAGGAAGGGGGGAAGGGAGATGGAGAGGGCGTGGGCGACGGGGAGGTGAAGGCTGGAGGGCACCATGGGGAGGAGGGGGGCGAACGCGAGAGGGAAGGAGATGCATCAGGCGGGGAGAATGCTGGGGAAAGGGCTTGTGGGGGAGCAGAGGAGGGAGGGAGTGCGAGCGTAATTGCAAGCGAGTGGAAGGGGGGCAAGCGGCGGCGGTGGCAGCCAGTGGTGTCACGGGGGGGAGATGGCGTGGTGGAGGTGCGCTTCCGACAGCTGCTGCCCGGCACCTCCTCTGCTCCCTCTGCTCCTCTCCCTGCCCCACCCCCTCCTGCTGCTGTGGCTTCTGCTGATGACGCACCTGCTACGGGTGCTGATGGTGACTTGGCTGATGCGGATGCTGCTGATGTTGCTTTCACTGATGAACCTGCTGTTGGTGTTGCTAATACTAGTGCTGCTGCTTCTGGTGGTACTGATATTGATGCTGCTGCCACTGCCGACGTTAGCAGGAATGGTGGTGCTGCCGGTGCCCCTGCTGCCCCTCCAACTCTGCATGGCACAATGCTTCCCAGGGAAGGAGAGGGTGACGTAGCAAAGGAGCAGGGCGAGGAGGGAGAGGAGAAGAGGGAGCAAGCGGGTAAGGATCAGGAGGCGGAAGGGGAAGGGGAAGGGGAGGACGGAGCAGGTAGTGGGGGAAAGAGAGGAGGGCGTGAGGGCGAGGGTGAGAAGAGTGAAGGTGAGGTGGAAGAAGAGGGGGAGAAGAGAAGGGAGGAGAGGATGGGAGAAAGAGAGGTGGGGATGAAGGGGGCCGCGGACAGGGAGATGCCACAAAGTAGAGCTGCTTCTGAACCTGCCCTCGCTGGAGCCGAAGGTGCAAGCTCTGTTGCTGCTGCCTCTGCCGCCACAGCAGCAGCAGCACATGCGCTTTTGACTCATGGCAACATGGCAGCTTCTTCACATGCATCAGCAGCACACGAGTCAGCAGCAGCAGCACTGAGGGAGGGTCCAGAATCAGGTGAAGCAGCAGCAGCACCATCCGCTGAGGCAGCACCAATGGCAGAAGACACGGTAGCAGCCACGGCAGCAGCAGCAGCCTCCTGTCATCCACAGGATGTTGCCTGTGCCCCTCCCTCTCCTGCTTTTGCCCTCCCTGCTGCCGCTCCTGTGGTTGCTGCCCCTGGTGCTGCCGCCACTGCCAGTGGCACGCCTGGTGCTGCTGTGGTAACCGCAGTAGTGAGTGGGGACAATGGAAGTGGGGACGGTGTGAGTGGGGAAGGTGGGAGTGAGGACGGGGCTGCAGGGCCCCGTGGTGTGAAGAGGAAGGCGGGTGGGGGTGAGGAGGGAGAGGAGAGTGCAGGGCATGCGGGAGGAGCAGGGAAAGGGTCAGGGAAGAGCCGGCGTGTGGGGGGGGAGGTGCTAGTGGGGCAAGGAGGAGGGCAAGATGGGGCAGGTGGGGATAGTGGGACGGGAGGGGGTAGTGGGGCAGGTGGGGAGAAACGGGAGCAGGCAGGAGGTGAAGGAGACGGTGGGATAGGTGGTGCAGGTGTGGAGAAGCAAGTGTGTGGCGACCCAGGCGAGAGTGCCAGTGCGGTGGGAAGTGGTGGCAATGACATAAAGATGGGCGGCGCTTTGTCACAAGACACGCTTGATGCGAGTGGGAGGGAGGGGGTGAGAGAAGGTGGGGGGGCAGTGCAGGAGGGAGTAAAGGAAGCAGCAAAGGAGGGTGGGAGAGTGCAGAGTGAGGCGGAGAGGCGGGCACTGGAGCTACTGGCGAGGCGTGGCCTGGGGGAGGCGGATCTGAAGGCGCTAGGGGAGATGCGACTGGGCGTGGGGGGGAGGCGGGGGCGCGGCAGAGGCAGAGGGGGCCGAGGGGGAAGCAGAGGTGGTGGGGGGATGGGGAGGGGCGGTGGGCGGGAGGCGAGGGAAGGGGGAGGTGGTAGGGAGCAAGGCGAAATGAAGGTGGCAGTGCCTGCTTCTCGTAGTGATGCTGCTGCTGCTGTTGTTGCTGCTGTTACTGCTGCTACTGGCGGCAGTGGCAGTGGGAGGGATAATGGAGGAGCTGCAGGTGCTATCGCTGTTGGTGGTGCTGTGGGTGGCAGTGGAGGCGAGTTTGAGCTGCTGCTGCGTCTGCCAGATGACATGCGGCCACAGGTGCCAGTCAACCTGCACAGCCGCGTCCCCACACCCATCCGCCAGGTGCGCCCCTCCGCCAGGTGTGCTGCGCCCATACGCCAGGTACGCCCTCCCCAGGTGCGCCCATCCGCCAGGCTGCAGTGCTGCACAATGCATCGCTGGTGCTTGCTTCACCCTAGCCGCCGGTTCCCTTTGCATTCTTAACGTTCTCCTTCACACCATTCATTAAAGCCACAACGGCCTTCTCCCTCTCTTTACCACCTCTCTCCCCCATCTTCCCCTCATTTCTTCCCTTCTTCCCGCGTCCACCCCCCATCACCACCGCGGAGGCACGTGAGTCTGTGGGTGAATCACCACCTGCGGGCCATCCCTGGCAGCGCCATCGGGCGCAACGACCAGACATGGGCAGCGATAGCAGCGGGCGTGGCAGCAGAGAGGGCACTCTTCACCCAGGCGCCCAACAAGCGCGCCTACCTCTCCCTCTACGCCCGCGCCCTCGCTGCCGCTCCCACCAACCTCAACACTTCCTCCTCAATTCTCTCCGCTGTTCCTGCTGCCGCTGGTGCGGGTTCTTCTGCCAGAGCTGCATTGTCCCCAACCAAAGCTGCTCCGTCCCCAACCAAAGCTGCAGGTTTGGCAGCCAGCGTTGTGGATGAGGCTAGGCCGATTTCCATAGCTGATGCGTTGGCTCGGGCATCGGTGGCTCGGGCCCTCCGAGCCACAGGCTTGGATGGGCCGACACCCCCGGGATCTCCTAAGAGGGAGGAGGCAGGGCAGGATAAGGGACAGCAGGGGAAGGATGGGGAGGGTGAACGGGCTAAGGTCAGTATGCAGGGAGAGCAGCAAGGAGGAGAGGCAGAGAGGGAGGCAGAGATACGGAGAGCAGCAGGGAAGAGTACCGGCGCAGCAGTGGGCGATGGTGGTCAGAAGAGTGAGCAGGGCGAGCAGGGGCGGGTGGAAGGCGCATGGCAGGAGGGACAGGAGGGGCCGGGGGAGAGGAGGCAAGTGGGGGGCGGGGCGAGTGTTGAAGCGTTGGTGGAGGCAGTGGCAGCCCCTGGGGGAGGGGAGGGCGATGCAGGGGAGGTTCTGGATGGGGACTGTGGAGCGAGTGCAGGTATACGCGAGGGGGGTGGAACCCTTGGCAGTGAGTGGAGCAAGGGGCGTCACACGTCTGCTCCTCCTCTTGCGGCCACTGCTTTTGCTGTTGCTGTTTCTGCGGATGCTTGTGGTGCGGGTGGGAGTGGCAGTGAGGGGGCAGGGAGGGGTGCGGTGGGTGAGGGGGGAGGCGGGGCGAGCAGCACCGCCGCTCTGCCAGCTGGCAGCCCCGCCTTGCCAGCTGGCAGCACTGCTGATTCAGCCCAGCAGGGACACGGGAGGAAAGACCCCGTTTTAAACCAGGTACATCCGTACCCCTTCTCCTTCTCGTCATCACCCCTTTCCCCACGCCCCCCCACCCCTTTCCTCGTTTCCTTTCTTCAATCCCCACCCCTCTCTCGGCTCTTCTTCATGACTGCATGCCCACCTTGTCCTGCCATCCACATGCCTGCCACCTTGTCCTGCCATCCACATGCGTGCCTCACATCTGCCCCTCCCCCACCCCTTCCCGAGTAAAAGATGAGAGCATACGTCTAACTGAGATGCGTTACCCTGCCTGTTCCCCTGTGAGCAGGTGGAGGTGTTTATCCGAGAGCATCTGCGCCCCTTGGAGCGCAGCGGGGTGATAAGCGCAGAGCAGCGGCGCTGGGTAGCAAGCAAGGCAGCAGGGAAGGTGATGGAGCGGCACGGGGGGGCGCGGTCAGCCGCCTTCCTGGTGAAGGAGGGCGAGGACGTGTGGCGCCTGGCAGAGCGCTACCTGCGCACCTACCATGTGCGCTTCTCCAATGGGGGCAATGCACCCCCAACCTCCTCCTCCCCGCCGGCTGGCTGACCCCTGTGGTGAAGGTTGCGACATGCGGCGCCTGGCAGAGCGCTGCCTGCGCACCTACCATGTGCGCTTCTCCACTAGCAACAGGGGCGATGTGCCCCCGCCCTCCTCCTCCTCCTCCCCGCTGGCTGGCTGACCCCTGCTGCCATGTTGACCCGGTGAAGGTGATTGATGCGATGTGCGGCACCTGGCAGGCCGCTACCATAAAGCGCCTGGGAGCTGAGCGTTCGAGGCGGTGGTGCATGGGGCTGGGTTGTGATAGGGAGGTGAAGGTGCAGGGGTGGTAGATGCCATTATGGTTTGTCTGCAGGAGATTTACATGACTATGGTTTGCGAGGTTGCATGCATCCTGCGCACCCTGTGGTCGTCTGCAGAGGTTACAGCAGGGCCTCCTTGTAGCGAATCCTTTGTGTAATACACAGGGTGTAGCTGTGGTAGATTTCAACGAATAAAGTACCGGTACGACTCACGCCATGAGTCTATGTGATGGACTTAGGAACGGTTTATCCGTCACCCCTTGTTGTATAAGTATGGAGTACTCGAAAACCTTATCACATTATCAATCATCACTTGTCGAATATATTTTCCTAACATCCGTACCTTAACCTCAGTGTTATGTGTTATACTGCGGCATCTTCACACCTGTACAGCACGATCAACAACGTATCTCAACGGCAGCATGTGCGCGTGAGTTGATCCAGCGAAGTTCCTAGCATTTCAACAAAGTCTGGTAGTGCGCGAGTGCGCGACAGCGAGTGCACGATTGCTCGACAGCGCGAGTGCGCGACAGCGCGAGTGCGAGACAACGCGAGTGCGCGAGCGTGCGAGTGAGCGAGAGCGTGGGTGTACGAGTGCGCGAGTGCGCGACATCGCGAGTGCGCGAGTGCGCGACAGCGCGAGTACGCGAGTGCGCGAGTGCGCGAGTGCGCGACAGCGCGAGTGCGCGACAGCTCGAGTGCTTGAGTGTGCGAGTGCGCGACAGCGCGAGTGCTTGAGTGCGCGAGCGCGCGAATGTGCGACAGCGCGAGTGCGCGAGGGCGTGAGTGCGCGAGTGCGCGACAGCGCGAGTGCGTTCGTGCGCGACAGCGCGGGTGCGCGACAGTGCGGGTGCGCGTGCACGACAGCGCGAGTGCGAGACAGCACGAGTGCGCGACAGCGAGTGCGCGACAGCTCGAGTGCGCGACAGCGCGAGTGCACGATAGCGTGAGTGCGCGACAGTGCGAGTGCGTAATGTGTGACAGCGCGAGTGTGCGAGTGCGAGACAACGCGAGTGCGCGACAGCGCAAGTGCGCGAGTGCGCTAGTGCGCTAGTGCGCGACAGCGCGAGTGTGCGATAGCGAGTGTGCGAGTGCGCGAGAGCGCGAGTGCGCGACAGCGCGAGTGCGCGAGAGCGCGAGTGCGCGAGTGCACGAGAGCGCGATTGCGTGACGGCGCGAGTGCGCGACAGCGCGAGTGCGCGACAGCGCGAGTGCCGCGACAGCGCGAGTGCACGAGAGCACGCGTGCACGAGTGCGCGACAGCGCGCGTGCACGACAGCACGAGTGCGCGAGTGCGAGAGAGCGCGAGTGCGCGACAGCGAGAGAGCGCGAGTGCGCGACAGCGAGAGTGCGCGACAGCGGGAGTGCGCGAGTGCACGAGTGTGCGAATGCGCGACAACGCGAGTGCGCGAGTGCGCGACAAGGCGAGTGCGCGAGTGCACGACCACGCGAGAGCGCGACAGCACGAGTGCAAGAGTGCACAATAGCACGAGCGCGAGTGCGCGACAGCGCGAGTGCGAGACATCACGAGTGCGCGTCAACGCGAGTACGCGACAGCGCGAGTTCGCGAGTGCGTGAGTGCGCGAGTGCGCGACAGCACCTGCGCGCGTCAGCGCGAGTGCGTGAGTGCGCGACAGCGCGAGTGCGCGACAGCGCGAGTGCGCGACAGCGTGAGTGCACGACAGTGCGAGAGCGCGACAGCGCGAGTGCACGACACAGCGAGTGCGCGACAGCACGTGTCAGAATATATTTCTGTATAACTGCATGTAGTTCTAGCTGTAGTGTAGTTATATCACTGTCCTTCTTGTGGTGCACCCCCTCCTTACTTGTCTCTTGTATAACTTGGGCCTTTGGCCCTTTAGTGCATCATCATTTCTCACTTTCTCCTTTGCCTAAACTCTCTCGACATCCTTGGCTAGCTCACACCCTAGCCATGGCTACTACGATTCTAACATGGTATTAGAGTGATTACGACCCTTGGGCCCACCACCTGCTGCCCTGAGCGCCGCCCTCGTGCGGCCCTCCTCTCGACGTTTGGCACGGCCCGTCGCCCGTAGCCCCGAGGCCCCGGCCCGACGCCCCTAGCTCTCGGCCCCGGCCCGTCGCTCGCGCCCGTCGCCCCTAGGCCCGTCGCCCCTCGGCCCGTCGCCCCTAGGCCCCGACCCCTAGCCCGTCGCTCGCGCCCGACGCCCCTAGGCCCCGGTCCCGGCCCGTCGCCCGTCGCGCGTCGCCCCTACGCCCGTCGCCCCTAGACTCCGGCCCCCGACCTGTCACTCACGCCCGCCGCCCCTAGGCCCGTCGGCCCCGTCGCCCGTCGCTCCCCTAGGCCCGGCCCCGACGCTCGACGCCTCTAGGCCCCGGCCCCGGCCCGTCGCCAGACGCCCGCTGCCCCTCGGCCCGTTGCCCCTAGGCCCGTTGCCCCTAGGCCGGCCCGTCGCCCCTAGCACGACCCGTAGGCCCGTCGCTCCTAGCCCGGCCCATTGCCCCTAGCCCACGCGCCCCGGCCTGTCGCCCGACACCCCTACGCCCGCGACTGACGCCCCTCCGCCCCCCCCTTCTCCTCCATCCCCCTGCTGCGGGTGCAGCAGTGGGGGGGGGGGTATGGGGGTGGTGGGCTCTTGGAGGGTAAGGGGGTGGCCGGAATGGATCTGCAGCACCAGCTCCCCCCGCCCCCCCGCCCTTCTCCTCCATTCCCCTGCTGCGGGTGCAGCAGTGGGGGGGAGGGGATCTGCAGCACCAGCCCCCCGAGCCCCCCTTTCTCCTCCATTCCCCTGCTGCAAGTGCAGCAGTGGGGGGGAGGGGATCTCCAGCACCAGCCCCCCCCCCCCCCCCCCCCGCCCCCCCCTTCTCCTCCATCCCTCTGCTGCGGGTGCAGCAGTGGGGGGAGGGGATCTGCAGCACCAGCCCCCCCGCCCCCCCCCCCTTTCTCCTCCACCCCCCTGCTACGGGTGCAGCAGTGGGGGGGAGGGTATGGGGGTGGCGGGTGTGAGTGAACTGCTGCCGCCTCTCCTCCTCTCTCTCCCACTGCTGCACATGCCGCTGTGGGGAGGGGGGGGGAGGGTGTGGGGGAGTTGAGGGAGTGGCAGTACAGATGCTGAGGGGTGTGACAGGGAGGTTTTGGGGAATGGGGGAAGTTGTAGGGGGGTGGGCGCAGTGAAGCCAGCGGCTCCAGTCGCCTGTGAGACCGTTGCGCCAGTTGCCCGTGAGCCCGTTGCTCCTGTAGCCCGTGAGTCAGTTGCTCCTGCCGCTCCTCCTCTCATGGTCCCTCCTCCTCTTCGCTTGCCCTCTCCTTCCTCCACTGCGCCTGGTGTACCCCTTCAGGGGGTGTTATGCACATGGCTATTCTTGCATGCAGTTAGGGGGTGTGTCAGAATATATTTCTGTATAACTGCATGTAGTTCTAGCTTTAGTGTAGTCATATCACTGTCCTGCTTGTGGTGCACCCCCTCCTTACTTGTCTCTTGTATAACTTGGGCCTTTGGCCCTTTAGTGCATCATCATTTCTCACTTTCTCCTTTGCCTGAGCTCTCTCGACATCCTTGGCTAGCTCACACCCTAGCCATGGCCACTACAATTCTAACAGCACGAGTGTGCGAGTGCGCAGCAGCGCGAGTGCGTGACAGCGCGAGTGCGCGACAGCGCGAGTGCGCGACAGCGCGAATGCGTGAGAGCGCGAGTGCGCGAGAGCGCGAGTGCGCGAGTGCGCGAGTGCACGAGAGCGCGAGTGCGCGAGAGCGCGAGTGTGCGACAGCACGAGTAAATGTCAGAATCACGAACGAGAATGAATGAACTAGCAAAGAGTTGGGTACAAGTACTAACCCTAATTGGGTTGTACCCCTTATGGGCTACCCCACTACAGCCTACACAATGTAAGCTATATATAAGTTTGACACACCCCCATAGGCAAAGTGGGGGAGAAAAGTGGTCACAAGACCAGTCAAGAGAAGCAAAGCAAGCTCAGGGTGGATCACAAAGTCACCACACAGTCCGAGCACAAGCAAAGGGCCACAAGGCCAGTTCACATGCAGAGTCATATAAAAGACAACAAACAATACAGTGATCATACCCTAGCAAGTGCAAGCATGCAGGTATATATATAGATCACAGTACAAGCAGAGTCAAGCAGTAAGCAAGTGAGGCAAAGTAGGCACAAGGCCTAACACAGTAGAGAAGCGCTGATGATCACCAGGCGAAAGTGCCTTGGTGAATACATCAGCAGTGTTGGCCCGAGTGGCCACGTACGCAAGACGAAGCTGGCCACGCTGCTGCAACTCTCGAGCAAGGAAGTATCGCAGAGCAATGTGCTTCGTTCTGTGCTCCAGTCTGTGCTCCTGACACAAGGCAATCATGGCCTTGTTGTCTACGTAAAGAACTGGAGGCGAACAAGGCTGCTCTCCTAAGTCAGTCAGCAGGTAGGTGAGCCAGCGTAGCTCCTGTGCAGCCATGGCCCCTGCGTAGATCTCAGCCTCACAACTGGAGCTGAGAACCGAAGACGAGCGGGTAGACCGCCAGGAAATAGAGCCGGAACCGAGGCTGAAGGTGTAACCCTGTGACGACCGCTGCGTAGCTGAGTCGTCAGCCCAAGAAGCGTCTGCGTGACCAGTGAGGACAACTGGACCCCGTCCTCCAAGCACGAGACCCATGCCCGACGTACTGCACAAGTAACGCAGTACCATCTTTGCAGCATCCCAGTGCACCTTTCGGTGCCTACCGGGAGCCACGTAGCGAGCCAAGAGGCTGAGAGGG